GGTAGTGGTGAGTCTGGTGACGGGCTGGCGTGATTTGTTAGTGGTGGTGTTGCGGTGCGGTGTGGTGTGGTGATGGTGGTGTTACAAAAGTAGTGGTGGTGGCAACAGCGACGGCGATGGTGATGACAGTGATGGTTGTGATGATTTTTGTTAGCATGAGTATTGGATCTAGTGTTGGCGGCTTTGTTGGTAGTGGTGTTGTGGCGATGGTGGCGGGATAGTGTTTGTGACCAAATATTGAGGGTGGATCGAGATCGGAAGTGGGGTGTTTTGGTATACGTGACCAATTATTTAATTCATTGTGACTAATTATTAAAATGTGACCTTAAATTTCAATAATTTGTGACTAAAAATAATTTGTGACCAATAAATTTGAAATTGTGTGACCGATAGATAAACTATGACCTATAATTTCTTTGATCTATGACCAATGAAATAAACTGTGACGCATAAAATTTTTGATTTGTGACCTCGAAAGAATCTGTAACAGTTTAATTTGATAACATGTGACCAATAAAGAAATTGTGACCCATAAGTATGCATCAGTGACTAAGAATTGTATAATTGTCACTTTAATATATTTAATTAATAAAATATATTTAATTAATAAATAAATACCTGATTTTTGCATTTTTAAATTTAAGGCCTGAAAATTGATTTAGTGATCGTTAATACTTGATTCATGAATTCTTCCCTAATTTCAAGGCTGAGGCTTGAACTTTAATATCTACCCCTGTTGGCTTCGACCCTCACCTCCTGTGTCTTTATCTCTCAGCTATGATATACACACTTCAAGCCTCAAAGTCAAATGTAATTTCTCCATTAAAAATCTATTTCTTCTATTTTTCTAGCATCAATCTATGATATTGAATTTGAGTTACAAAACTTATTCGGTTATTCTCCAATTCATTTTATGTATCGATTCAAATTGCAATTTGTTGTCTTCTTCTATTTTACAGATTTTAGTACTTTATCAAGATTTTAATGTGTTATTATCATCTCATAATTGATTTAAAATGGATTTCTTTTATTGATTTCTTGCATGTTTTGCACTTCATTTATTGCTAAATTTTGAAATTGGATTTTAGGGCCTAAACTTAAAGAGTAATGCTATAAACTAAAAGAGTAATGCTATTCATCCTCAGTGGTTGTAACAGTCATTTAATTTCACCTTTCATTTAGCCTATTATTTAGAGCCACATAGACTGGTGTTACAGCCTACTGAGGATGAATAGCATTACTCAAACTAAAATTTAGGGCTTTACTGTTTTTCATCCAAAGTTTAATTATTTATGTTAGTTAATTTTCAATCTTATGTTTTTTCAAGCTATAGGTAGCAAATTCATGTTAGGGTATTACCGCATGACATGATTTTAGTTTTGTACATTGTGCATTGAATCATCGGGATTGTGGCTGTTTTTCATCATCCACACTGAAAAAACTTTCTGGGTCCGCCCCTAACCAAATTTTCACAGATTATCTTTATTGGCTCTTTTGTTGAAATTTTTAACCCATCATCTTTTCAGCCATATTCCTTCACATATACTTTGAGCTAATGCCCTGAATTTTGCTTCAGCACTACTCCTTGCAATAACAGACTGCTTCTTACTACGCCAAGTTTCCAAGTTACCCCATACATAAGTACAATAACCAGTAGTTGATCTCGTGTCTGTAATGGATCTTGCCCAATCTACATCTGAGTAGACGTCAACTTCCTTGTTCCGTTTTGAAAGAAAAATCCTTTCCAGGAATCTTTTTCAAATATCGAAGGATTCGATAAACTGCTTCAAGATGTTCTTCATTAGGTTTGTTCATGAATTGACTCGTGACACTAACTAGAAAACCTATGCCAGGCCTTGTGTGAGACGGATAAATGATCTTTCCTACAAGCCGTTGATATCTTCATGTGTCAACTGGAGGACTTTCTTCATTGAATCCAATTTTATAATTTGATTCCATCGAAGTGTCGGCGACATTCCATTTTCATTTAGTAGGTTCAAGATGTACTTACGTTGGGAAACAACTATTCCTTTCTTCGAACGTGCCACCTCCATGCCTAGAAAGTATTCAAGTGTTTCTAGGTCTTTGATGTCAAATTCTTGAGCAAGGACCTTCTTTAAACAACTTATTCCATATGTATAATCTCCTGTCACGATAATGTTTTCTACATGGACAATGAGGTTGGAAATCTTCCCATTAGAAGAGAATTTTGTGTACAGGGTATGATCGGCCTGTTCCAAAGAATATACATGCTTGGCTGCTCTTGTGAACTGTCAAGCCACACTCTAGGAGATTGTTCGAGACCATAAAAAGATTTTTCGAAGCTTGCAGACTTTGTTAATATTATTTTCGAAGTATTTTGATAAGTAAAAAATATATTTACTTTTTAAGTTTTTGAACCTTAACTATCAGATAGGAAAGCCGACAAGAGAAGAACACAGTGTTTAACTCAATGTTAGCCAATAGGGTAAGGTGCATAGAATGTAGAATTGTGACATAAAAAATATGGCACCCACTTCAAAATTTAGAGACGTGACAACTTAGCACAGTAGAGGATCCTAATCCTCTAATCCGATGGAGGGATAAAAGAAATTCTCGCTGGCCATTCTATTGGCGACAACTCTAATTCAGCATGTTGAATTTTGTTAAAATTTCTTCAAAACTGTAACTGATTTTGTGAAATCAATCTTCAATGACTATGTTCTCATCAGCATTCCTTCTTTATAAACTGTGGGTAAGTGTTGTTTGGAATCTGTTTACGAACAATTTAGTCTCAACTTGACAAATTTATAAATCAATTTATAAAGAGAAATAGTATTATGTCCCACAAAATAAGTGAATAATAATAGGTAATAATTATCAATGTACATTTATATTAATATTTGACTTTGATTGAATTTATCAATTGCATTCGAACTTGCATTCGAACGGAGACTTAAAATTATAATATGTGGAACTGTTTGGTGAATATGTTGATAGTAATTATAAGTCATACGAAATATGTTTATTAAAAGTTATTTGATCGATTGTAAACAATATCCAAACAAGGGGAGCCCTGCCTAAGTCCTCGCCAATTTGTTCGTCACATTGAGCATGTTTCTCAACTTATTTGGCTTGTAAGTATGTGACTTATAATTGGGACATTGGGTACATATTGGTCCACTCAATATATGAACCCTAAGCTTATAGTCCATGTTTGGTTCTGCTAAAAAAATTGATAAAAATATAAGTCAAAGTCAACAGTTAATTTTAACAACATATTTTGAGATCAACAACTTTTATCAACTTTTCAACCAGTCATTTCATCAACTTTTATCAAAATCTACTAAAAATGTGATTTTCACTAAACCAAACAAGGGCATTATAAAGTCACTTATTTGCCAAACATGCTAAAATATGAAGGCAAGAATCTCGTCTTTTTCTTTCTAGTAAAAATCCCATGAGTGACGAGCTAAACTATGAACAGAAATTTGGAAAGGGTAAAATCCATATCCATTACATAATTGAGTGCAAGTTTGGCATTCCCATGTCAATATTGAAGCAATCCAAAAGATTCCTAAACATATATGCAATGGAAGATTACTTAGCATCGCTTTATCCTTAGGAAAGGAAGATACCTTCCCACCAATTTTCTATCTCCAAATCACAACTTTTCTCTAGATGTTGCCACCACCCACAACTACACAACTTTCCAATGCCAAAGTCAGTGCATAATCCCAAGCGCCGCCCCACCAGCCCGATAATCTGGTTCACCGCCATCATCTGCGCTATACTAGCAGTGGCCGTAATCATTGCTGGCCTCGTCGTTTTCATCGGCTACCTCGTGATCCGTCCCAAGGTGCCTCAAATCAGCGTCAGGACGGCTCAACTCGACACGATATATTTCGACCAAGCAAGTTTACTCACTGTGCAAGTTACCATTGTAATAAAAGCAGAAAACGACAATGCAAAGGCTCATGCAAATTTTTACAACACAAACTTTGCACTCAGTTTTCATGGCGTGAAAATGGCTTATTTGGTTGCTGAACCATTCGATCTAAGCAAAAACAGCTCGAAAGAATTCAATTACGTCGTTCAATCGTCACCTATTCCATTAGAACCAGAATATGCAGAGATTGTAAACTGGTCATTGCGGCGAAATGTGATAACTTTTGAGCTCAAAGGGAATACAAGAACTCGATGGAGAGTAGGGCTATTGGGTTCGATCAAGTTCTGGTTGCATTTGAATTGCCAACTCCGTTTACCAGTAAATAGAACTGCAATTTATCCGCGTTGTAGCTCTGGATCTTAATGAACTCCTCTAATTTTGAGGGCCTCCTTTTCTATTCTTACCATAATTTTTAGGGCATTACTTTCTTGATATGATCCTGTTTCAGTTTTTAGATTAATAAAATTTGCCATTTTGAACTTTTATTTTTGTATTTCCTATATAATCTCGTGTTTATAAATTGGACAAGATGAAAAACTTTAGCCCACAAATTTCAAAAAATTGTCATTTTTTACAATGTTTGCCCCACAAATATGCTACAATTTTTATTTTTTTTTTGTCCGAAAAGGTTTCTTCCCACAAATAAGAACATTTCCCTACAAAGAAATTTCATAGGGAAAACATAAATTTCTTGTAATGATAATCAAGGAAGAGAAGCACGGGAATTACGTGTTCAATGTTATATTTAGTCACAGCTAGTTTATCTTATTAAACCTAAATTATTTTAGGTGGCAGTGATAGGTGATGATGAAGGTGGTTGCCAAGTCGGCAATGAACATCGACATTGTTGAGGTGGTGGATGCAGGGACGGACCCATCACCGGGCCGGGGGCACGACTGCGCGTGATTGGATCCGTGAGACTGCCGACAGGTTCCTATTCGGTGGTTCCTGCCGGTGCGGTTCGTCTTCTCAGTTTTGTATCTTCTTTTTTTGTGTGAAATTGGGCCAATTTGGCCCAGCTAGCCAGCCCATAAATCTTTTTTTGAAATTGGGCCAATTCGGTCCAGCCCATCGTCATTTTTTAATTGGATTGGGCCATTTGTTCTGGGTCCAATCCAAAATTATATAAGATATAAAAGCCCAATGGCCCTTGAAATTGAAATTCATCCCCAAATTAAAGACCTTCATCTTCACCAATTATCCAACTCGACTCTCGCCCAAATCCCAATCGCTCGTCCCTTGCTGTCGTGCCGCCTGCACCACCACCACCAGCAGTCTGGCGAGCCTACCATCAGGCTGCTACTGTCTCCGTCCGTCCGTCGCAAGTTTTGGTGAGTTTGAAGCTGTAAGTTGTTTTTCGGCATTTAGATGTCATTTTTTAAGTGTTTGATTCTGTAAATTGGAAATTTCAATTGGCAAATTTGTTGTCTAAGTCTTGTGCTGTTGCCTGTTGCCAATCAATTGAGCTAGAAAAATTAATTGTGACATGTTGTGGCTTGTGCTGTTGCTTGTTGCCAAATTAGTCTATTAATAGCTAAACGTTTGTCTATTAATGCTTTAAATTAGTTCAAGTATCTCAGAACCAGAGAGAAAGATGCGAACAATTTATTCTGAATTTCTAAAGCTTTCAAATTTTTATAAATTGATCAAAGTAGACCTGCACACTGTGATTGTGAAGAAGAAAACTCTGCCCGTTTCCTTTGCTATGAAGAAACTAAGCAACTTCTATAATATATTAGTGCTAGACCTTGAAACAGATTGACGTGTTAAGTGTTGGGAATTTACTTAACATGTACAGCGGAAAATTAATTATTTTTCA